TGATTTGAGGAAAATGAGATGCAGTCAGCAAGTTAGCAAACTCTGCTCTCATTCAGAAGAAAACTTCTGAAACTTAGAAAAGTTAAGTTTCAGAAGAAAACTTCTGAAACTTAGTTAAGTTAGTTAACTTCTGAAACTTAGTTAAGTTAGCAAACTCTGCTCTCATTCAGAAGAAAACTTTTGTTACTGCCTTCACTGGCATCCAGGAACCAAACTTGTTCTGCAGTTTCATTTCTCACCTGTGGAACCACTTGCTGTGCATGAAGGAGCAGAACTTGAAACTGGAAGTGCTTCAATGTGACAACACAGACACATTTACTATAACCAATAATTAGTCTCGATACGCTACTCTATAAAAAAATACAGGTTTGCATTTACTGAAGAATAACCTATTCTTTGTATCTTGTAATAGATCTTATAATACCCTCTTCACTGCATAGTGGTAAAAAGCAATTAGGTGGTTATTTAGGTTGGTAATACTCCTACAAGAGTCTACACTGACTGACAGAAACTAGCAGGAGATTTTATGAGATACTCTGATGAAAGTACAATATACAGGCAAAATATCATACCTACCTGAAAGGCTGAGTATTTTATAAAAACAGAGCACTGTTTGGGATTCTGAAGGGCTAGTATTTTGTATTAAATTTTAAATACCTATTCTTCTACCAATGCTGAAGGAAATTTACTTCTGCTCTAACAAAAGAAATACATGGCAGCTAAGAAAACTGAAAACATTCCCTAATGATAGATATGTGTTTTAAAATAATGTGTAAGTTTTTTACTTACCAATTTAAAGCATTTTTTTAAGATGATGACTGATTTATAGATCATTACTAAAACTCACAAAACCTTTAGAAAGTATCCCAATTTTGGGGGATATCTGGACCTTCAAATAAATACTAGACTAAACAAATAACAACTACTAACTTATAAAAGGAGCATACATGCAAAATGGTAGACGCATAGAAATCTTATTTGGAAAAGCACCATCTCATTGATACTACCAATGTCAAAATAGTTTCAATGAATTTCTGAAATTATAGAATTTTCAAAAAGTCTCAATAGTTACAGTATGTCGGATATTACAGACAGATATTACAGACAGGTCAAATAAAAAAAAAAAAAGTCTCAGTGAAAGATCTTTGGTTTTCTGACTCCCCAAAGGGTTCTCTATTTTTCTTGTGTTAATCAGGAATTAACCTTAATCTTGTTTTAGACACTTTGTTGAACTCCATCTACGTCATTAGGCACAAAAAGACAGGCTTAATAAACATTTAAAAGTCTCTGTGAAAACAAAGTTATACAGAGCTACAAAGTCAGAATATTTACAGCATGAGATCTCCAGATAAAACTGGGATTTTCATGCCTTTTTCCTAAAAAATAAGAAACATATAGGTAGCAAGATACCATAAAACTAAAACTGAATTTTTCAAGAGGCCAGATGCCAGACTCCTGAATACACTGCTTCTTCTTTAGCTGTGATTTGCCCCTGCCTGCCACGCTAATGCTGAAGAAAATCACAACGTTGTCTTATACTATTGTAAACCAAAGTATCACTAGTTGTTCAAAAATGTATCTTCCTTCATAAGGAAGGCAAAACACTATTTAAGCACAAATTTACAAATTCCAAATTATGTGCCAAGCCCATTATTAAAAACAGAGTTTTGACTTTTTAGTTAGAGCATCACTCTGAAAAGATTTTGATGTGTAAAGTTTGGTATTGGGAGACCACAGAAAAACAAAGCTCAGTAAAAAGGTGGCACATGGATCTCCCCAGAGTCTGGACTACCTGATGGTTCTGTTCAAAAGGCTGCCTTTTACACAGGCTGCCTGTGTAATCAAACCCCTTACATACTATATTACACAAACAAACTTGTTCCACTTCGCAAGCAAAACTGCTCCTTGAATTAAGAACAAATATCATTCCCTGGAATTGTCCCCGGGAAGCAGACTTCTTTAAAGCAATACACCATGCTAATGCAGGGAGCTTCATAAGCAGAAAGCATATGGAAGCTGTAACATCGTGCCACTCTTAAATTAGGAAGTGAACTTCATTTGCTTTCCATCGGTGCTGAATTTGACCCTTTACTGTTAATGAAAACCTCTTTAATTTCAACTTCCCACATGCAGTTTTGGTAGATTCTGGATGATTACTCCTCATTTATAGGTACATAAAGCATACAAAAATGAGAAAATAGTATCCTTTCTCATGTGCAGCTCTAGCTCAGAAGGAGAGAGAAAAAAGAAAAAACAAACAAACAAAAGAAAACCAAGTAAGGATGCCGTTCACTGCTGGACACTATTCTTACACCTCCTGCATTACCATATTTGAGCATCTTCCAATAGCACGTTGAAGGATATGAATAATCACTCTTGAGTCCTTGGTGATAACTTGGGCTTAACTCCAGACATACAGTTTGCTGGAGTGACTCCCTGTATCATCTTCCGATAAAACTGAAGATGATAAATAACTCGCCAGGAGAAAGGCCACTTAGTGTGGCTTCTGGCTCCTTTCTTGAAAATGCCGTGAAACAGAGCATTTTGTTTTGTTCACTTGCTGTAGCCTCCTCAACTCAGTCTTGGGTTTTAAGTGTATGTGTTCAAGTAAGAGAAGACAGAAAAAGAACAGAACAACTTCTTGCAGCAAACATTTGTAAAAGTTTTCCGAGATCCTCAGCTAATGTGGGAATTCTCTGTAATCTAGGAATTGTCTCCCAAAGAGATACCTGTGCTGTCACGTTAGTGTAGTTCTTCAGCTTTCAGTCAGGCCGATTCAGTGACACTAGTCTTTGTTCTAACTTTCTCTAGCTCCAGTTTGGAGAGAACAAGGTGACTCTGCACATAGTGAAATTTAGGCAGAGGAAAGGCTGGTACACACTTGAACTCTTGCCCTACTGATGGAGAGCATCCTCACAAGAGCAGTATTCACACTGCCAAGCGA